GGATGGGAAGGCAAACAAACAGAACTAGGGCTGAGAGACACTCAACCTGGAAAGGTTGAGGAGAAGCAGAGAAAAGGAAAAGGCAGGTAGAGAAAGTTATGGGGAGGCCAACCTCACAGTTGGGGAGTAATTGGTAGTTCATCCTGGGCCTACGTTGCTCTCTGAATGCCCAAAGGAGGCTGAGCGAGTCCTGATTTATGGCCTTTGCAGCAAGAGATGCCACTGTGCCCAGTATACAAATGTGAGCTCAGAGAAGATTGTGAAGACAGCAGGATGGTCCCAGGAAGAAGAGAGAGGCTTGTTCGAATGGCAAAAGCAGTGAGAAAACTCTTCTTTGGCTGACCTTGAAAAAGGCAAATAGGGTCAGGCTGGATTAGGACTTAGCTGGGAAGACTTGGTTGGAAATCCCAAGATCTTAGACTAGTTTGGGAAGCTGGAGAAGCATCTTGAAAGATGGCAATGGCAAAATTGCTGCCAAGAAAATGCCATGCACACAGCCCTGGGGTCACCAGGAGTCCAGCTGACTCGGATGAGGTGGCCAGCAACGTTGACCATCTGCCAGGAGGGTGTAAATCCATTTTGTCTTCTCCCAGCCCTCTCTCTTGTCCCCCAGATAATCTGTGGAAAGATGGGGCACGCATGGAGCAAATGTAGGGAGTGCAAATGACTACAGAGGAAGTCTTGAAGCAGAAACAGTTTTACCAAATTGTCCCCTGTGTAACATAGTGCTCGAGAGAGGGGTTTCAAGATCAATCCAGAGACAGGTTTATTAAGTAACTGCTTAATTAAACATTGGTGACACAGTTCACCTGTCAAAATAATCCATGGTTTGTTTGAATTATGGATTGCGCCCCAACCAGCTGGATTCATGCACCTCCCATCAGATGAAGCCAAAGGCATTGGCTATGGCGAGTGCAAGGTGTGAGCACAATCTTTGTCTACAAATGCCATGAAGATATTTTGAGTCTAATTACACGACGTAAATCATATTTTGCATTCCTTTTTTTTTTAACCAAGGGTGGGAATAATATCTTCATTCATTGTAAGATAGAGATATAGAGGATGGATGGATGGATGGATATTATTACTATTCCAAACATCTCAGTAAAAGGGAGACAATTTTAAGACATTTGCAAATTCCAGAATACGGGGAGCATCGTTTATGAAAATGAAGTTAATCTTATGGAAATGCAGCAAGCAATTTTTGCTCTGATGAAGGACAAAGATGATTGGCAAGGGGGGGGGAAGTCTTGTCCTCAGATGTCCTCCTTTGACATGGGTGCGAGTTATCCTCACTTACATTGGCCGGCAATAAACAGATGGGGTCAAAGGGCTTTCCTGAGATGTGGCTTGCGCAGTGCCAAATGACGCTCTGGGCTCCAGCATCGTTTCACCGAGCCTCTGGCTGTGGATGAACGTTTTTGCAAGCCGACCAGGGAAGCAGGGAGAGCAGAAAGCTCTGACTTTCCCCTTTAGTATTCTAGGTATTTCCAGTTTCTGCTGACACAGAGGCAGACCGGAAAACAAGCCCCCCAAGGGCCGCTCCGCTTCCTAGAGACTGTTCTTCCCAGCTTTGCGGCCCCCCCTTCTGCAGAAACTGAAATAAGCAAGACGTAGGCTAAAAATAGTCCGCTAAGAGCAACTGCAATGCAGCCTCGCTTCTCCCTTTCCTGTTGCTGGGAGGGAGCCAGCTGACTTAATGGAAAAGGAAGCCAGAAAGTGAATCTTGAAGGTGGGGATGGGGACAGCCAGCTCCCCCCCAGCCCTTCGCCCTGGAGGAGGTGAAAACCCATTTGGAGCAAAATCTGCAACTCTGCATGCGGTCAGGACCTGCCAAGTTTCCACCCGGCTGCAGGGTTTGTCTGCTTTGCTAGACATCCTGTGTCTCTGCGT